AAACATGCTCGCCCTTTCAGCCGTGGGGGTGTTATAATGTGACGGTCAATCCCATTATTCGTTGATAAAAGAAGAGCCCAAGTGTTTGCGGTGGGTGGTGGTGACTAGCTACCTTCCCTCTAGACTTTCACTGCTAAATTAGGGACGGCTAGCGCAGATAACCCTCGTGTAGCTTTGCGCGAAATTCAAAACAAACAAACTCTTTCCTTTGTGTATCGTTTTTTTAAAAAAGGATTGAATCTAGCTTTTAGCCCATAGACACTCATCTTGTTTTGCCATTGTTTCTACTATTTTAAGGGCCTTTTGTTTTGTTCAGTTGTGACTGCCATTTTGAGATCGTTGCTTTTCAAAGTTATATTACAACATTTGATAATAATGTGTTTATTTATTCTACAGTTATCGCCAGGTATTGATTTTTCGGTCATGATTATTGTTAACAATTAGCAACCCATGAGTTTTATACGAAATATTTTAATTGTCCAAATATTTTTGTTACAGTAGGAAATTACTTTCTGCATGTTGTCTAATAATCTGTTGTTAATTGTAAAGCTTAATATGTATATTAATTTATATTTTTAATATAATAATTAAAGATGTTAAAAATCACTTTCATTAGAGGTTTTTAAAACGGCCAATAGGCTTTTGTAACGATAAAAGTTAAATATTACAGACATTGTATCCTTCCGCTATGTGGGTCCTATATCTTCAGATACTCCTTATTTCATGAAGGTACTTTTTTATACCCTCCCTACAGTATAGCTTGCGTTTTAGTTGCCCCCAGTGGCACAACGTTATGTCTGCGGACTTACAACACTATAAACCGGGTTTCGATACTCGTGGTGGGCAGAGCACAGATAGCTCATTGTGTAGCTTTGTGCTTAACTTCAAAACAAACAAGCGTTTTAGTTTTATTTGGGCGACTTCTTTTTTATTTTATTTTTCGGGGGAGAAGGATTTACAAAAAGCTACACAAAGGTTATCTGCGCTAGCCCTCCCTAATTCTGACTGATAGACTAGAGGGAAAGCAGCTAGTCAACAGCCACCGCCAACTCTTGAGTTACTATAACTGAATAATGAGATTTGACCGTCACAATTATAACGCAACTCAGTCCCTAAAATGCGTGGCAAATATTTGCGACCACAGTCCGCGAACTATGTCTTTGTATGGAATAGCATTATATCCGTTTCATTCTCTATCTCTTTTAGGTATGCGAAGGTTAAACAGATATGTAGTGGAAGCAACTTGTATACATATAACTTATGTCGTTTTTCCAGACGGATATCCTTTGTGATTATGTAGTGTGCTGTTGTAAGGAGCACGTGAATGGCTTTTACTACTAATCTTTGTGGTCGTGGATTCTCATCTGTTACAAAACGCCATATTTTACTTACTACGGCGGAGGTATGTCTTGTTGGAGGTCTTTTTCTGGATGGTCCTGGTGTCCCAAATTGATCCGTAAACCTTTGTTTTCCAATGTCTTTAACTACAAGGAATAGCCCCGTTTCCAAAATTCTAAGCGGAGATCTGAACACATCTTTTTTGATCTGAGTGTACGTTTTGCGTTGGAAAGGGTTGTTACATACCCTTTCTGAAAGCGATCTATTTTCGGTGGCATCACACTACCTATAAAAATCCAAACAATATCAGAATGTAGTTCTGACAGAGGGTATTCTATTGTGATTTTATGTCAGTTGTGTTTGTCATGGTAACTTGTATATTTGTATATTCAAAATCGTTTTAATATAACGTAGTCAATCTCTTGCTACTTGATCATAATCTATTTTTATTTATTTATTTATTTTATCTATTTATTTTATCAGGCTAAAATTGAAAAGCAATATTTATCTTACTAATATCTGACTGGTTTATCTTCGATAACTTCACATGATATTTATTTCCGTGTATTTATTTACACACACACGCTGACAGCATAATGATACTTAATTATTGACATTCACAAAGTTATTTCTTGTTAATTAACTTTTTTTATATATATATAATTGTCAATTCTAGGTTTGAGCGGGGATGAATTCCAATTTTCCAAAAATGGGGACGGGCCAGCACGCTACAATATCATCCACTTCAAACAAGTCAAACAAGGTAATTATCAATGGGTCAGAGTTGGCGAATACAAAAATGGTCAGTTGACTCTCAACCTCTCCCAAGTCCAGTTTCACCTACACGAACCGCACATGCCCCCATCTGTGTGTAGTGACCCTTGTGAAAAAGGTCAAGCCAAGAAGTTCGTAGAAGGGGAGAACTGTTGCTGGCATTGTTTAAGTTGCACAAAATACCAAGTTCTCCTCTCTGAGACCCAGTGTGTGGAGTGTCCTCTCGGGTTTCTTCCAGACAATGACCACGAAATATGTATTGCTATTCCAGAGCTGTACATGAGACCTGACAGTTCCTGGGCCATTGGAGCTCTAGCCTTCTCTACAACGGGAATCTCTGTTACAGTGTTCGTTATTGTTGTGTTTATTCGATATAATGACACACCAGTGGTCAAGGCGTCCGGTCGGGAGCTTAGTTACGTTCTTTTGGCTGGCATATTAATGTGTTATGGGATGACGTACATGTTGGTCCAGCGTCCAACAAATTTCATCTGTGGAGCCCAGAAAACCGGCATCGGTTTGTGTTTCTCTGTTGTTTACAGCGCACTTCTGACTAAAACCAACAGGATCGCTCGTATTTTCAATGCTGGTAAACGTAGTGCAAGAAGACCAAGCTTCATCAGCCCTAAATCCCAGTTGGTCATCTGTGGAGCGCTGATCAGTGTCCAGATTTCAATCACTACAGTATGGCTAGCTTTCACGCCTCCTCGAGCAATTCACCATCATCCAACTCGAGAGGATAATCATGTTGTGTGTGCCGCTTCTATTAACGCTAGTTATATGGTGGCCTTTGCCTATCCAATTACTCTAACTCTCATCTGTACCGTGTACGCCATCCTTACTAGAAAGATTCCAGAAGCTTTCAACGAATCTAAGTACATAGGTTTCACCATGTACACCACGTGCATTATATGGCTGGCATTTGTTCCAATCTATTTCTCGACAGCTGAGCACGTGGCTCTTAACGTCACTACAATGTCCGTAGCTATTAGTCTTAGCTCTACAGTAACCCTAGTATGTTTATTTACACCCAAACTCTATATTCTACTTTTACATCCTGAAAAAAACATTCGTCAATCTATGATGCCACAGAACAAACACGGAACGTTAAACAACACCTTAATTACTACGCCATCAGCAACAAAAGTTGAGTCGGCTACGCAGTCCGATGGTAAGTGCCTTCTGTTAGAAGTTTTTGGTATATTTTATATTCTTTATTACTAATAATTGTGCTACACAATTTTCAGAACATCAAACTATTTATTTTATAAATTTCATATATAAAATCAGCCAGCAGAGTGCTGGAGTTAAAAAAAAACTATTTATTTTAGCAGATACACAACTAGCTATAATAAATAGGCCTAACTGGTATTAAGCCTATTTTGTATCCCAGAAGGAGGATTTTATAATCTAGACCCATCTGAAAAACAGAGTACTCCCCTCTAACTTAACTTTGCGTTTTGTTTAAAAACTATTTCCGCCAGACGGATGTTACATTTCTGTTTTTTCACACATGACTGTTCTCATAAAAATATGTATGCACTAGTAGATTTGGTTAGCTACACAAGGGCTACATAGTCTCCCTCTATTTTGATCTGACTAAACTAGAGAGAAGGCAGCTAATGAACAAAACCCATCGCCAGCTCTTGGGCTACTCTTATGTGATCTAATTGTAGGATTTGACCGTCATGGTCTTAAAGTGCGGGCGCGTTAATTTTCGGCCACGCCTGGCAAGTGAAATAACATCGAAAACGCATTTGTTTCTTTAAAAAAAAAACTTATTAAACATCTTGGTTTTTCTTAGGAGAGCCATCAGCATATTAGTTGATCATTGTAACATACTAGTTGATCATTTGTTACGGGTAAATAATTACGGTGTTTAGAGTTATAATGTCAGTCTTTGACCAGAATAACTGCTTCTCTTGTAACGCATCCAAAATTGAAAGTACGGGGCATATTTAACGGAATCGCCACGCGATTCCTGGACCTTTCAACCCGCAACCCGTAATGCTAACCATTAGGCCATGCCAAGCCCAGGTATACGGTGAAAAATTACCTTAAAAAAAACACAACAAAATACATAATGTATATAGGTGAGATACGATCATGATAAGGCATGTCGTTGTCTGCTAATGCAAATAAAAAACCGTAATGCTTGGCATTGGCAGCTTATCTTAATTTTTTACGGACTATGAAAGTAGTTTTATTTTTAATTCAAAGTCCAGCCACAGTGGGAAATCTTAAAAACACCTTTATGTGTGTCAGTTATTATTATTTTTTGTCACTGAGGTGTTTTTCAAATAAACACAAAAACGATCAAAAGGCCAATCCCACCAAAATTTGTCCTTCACTACTAATCGAAATAGATTACAGTAAAGAACAGAAAATTACGAGTACATTATTACATACTAGCTGGAGGGCGGAAGTTATGTAAATTCATTATTAATGAAATCTTAGGACATGAAAAGTTGTGAAACAAAAACGTCCATAAAAACTGCAAAACACAAAATGTAAACTGCAAATTTGCATGTATCTCCGCATGGACCCAACAAACCTTCATGACAAATTTGGTGAAGATCCATCAACAGGGGGGCGAAGTAGTGGTAAAAAATGCCAAAACGCCCGTAAAAACAGCAAAAGGCAAAACAGAAAATTTGCATGGGGACCTCCGCATGGACCTAACGAACCTCTATACCAATTTTGGTGAAGATCCATCTACATCCCGCGAAGTAGTTACATGGACATCCAACAGACAGTAGTATTATATTTATATAAATACTACAGGCATCATCGATACTCAGTAAATAGGGAGGAACGAGACAAAAACAGAAACAACAATCTGATAACTTGAGCGAAAAGTCATGTGACTATGTCTTCTTTGTACAGTGGGTATCGAAACCCGAATTTTAGCGTTATAAGCCCTCACAGTATAACCGGGGAGCAATTAATTTGATAAAGACTTCTATTATATCGCCTGAATTAATCTAACAGGGAAACCAACTCTATCTTTCAAATTCATTTGACTATGTCCTCTTTGTACAGTGGGTATCGAAACCCGAATTTTAGCGTTATAAGCCCTCACAGTATAACCAGTACAATTGATTTGATAAAGACTTCTATTATATCGCCTGAATTAAAACCAACTCTATCTTTCAAATTTATATGATAGAAATTCCATTATGTCTTCCAAGTTTCGTTTCTTTTATTTTAAAATAATTCTTTATCTAATTTTCCTTAGCAGTTAGGGGGCGCTAGACTCAGAATCTGAGGGTCGCGGGTTCGAATCCCCGTTACACCAAACATGCTCGCCCTTTCAGCCGTGGGGGCGTTAT